GAATTTTGAAACGTCAACTCAAAATGCAAAAACTTGTCACCACGAGGAATCGAACTAGGGACCCCTTTTCTGGTATTCAGAGGGCCGTTCAGGAAAAATGAACCATGCTTCTGTGGTCCCCATATGTGCCCCAATGTCATGCAAGAAACCATTTTGAAAAAGCTTGGCACACCCTGAACGACCTCCCTTGTTAGAAAGGAACTCTCTTCATGCGATGCATCTGTACTCCTTCGATTCAGTTCTGTTGTCATACCAGTGAGCTAGTGGAAACGGCATACTGTTGGGATCGCTCAGAAAAACAATTTTCCGTGTCTTTTGTGTATGGTCTTTTCGAGAATGCAATACTTCTCTTCGTCTCTGTTCATTGAGCTCATTTGTAGTGAACCCATTACCCCAACATTCATCGCTCATTTTTGAGAATAATTCACAAAGTTGCAATTTTTATTGAATAGTGAAATTCAGACACGTGCCTTGCGGGCAGAAGCAGCATAGCGAGGTGGGCACGGGCAGTAGTTGGCATCACCTCCGGACCTGCAGGGTTTCCACGTCTTCCGGGTTGACCGTTCCTTCCTGGCTGTCCTCGTCCTCCAGGTTGCCCAGCCGGGCCAGGTCCGCCAGCTCTTCCAGGACTGCCGGCTCTGCCGGGTCCTCCAGCATTTCCTGGAGCTCCAATAGCTCCAGCTGGTCCTGGGCGGCCAGGAGTTCCACTTCCACTTGTGCCGGGTCTTCCAGGCTCTCCTGGTCTTCCAGCGGATCCAGGATTTCCTGGTGCTCCACCATCTCCGGGAGGTCCAGGAGGACCAGGACGACCATCATTACCAGGACCTCCAGCACGTCCTGGATTTCCGTTTGGTCCTCTATTTCCTGGAGCTCCACTTGGTCCGGGAGGTCCAGGAGGTCCAGCTGGGCATTGAACACAAGTGTTGTCACGACCAGGGCAGATGATGGGAGCGTATGTTGTAGTGGCGTCGCTACCGGGCTGACCAGGTGCTCCAGGTTGTCCTAAATGTCAAGTTTAAAGATTATGTTAAGTAGAATTTTCAGAAAATTTGATCTTACCAGGTGCTCCAGGTCGTCCAGGAGGTCCAGGTGGTCCAGGTGGGCAAGTCACTCTAGGAGGAGTGCACTGGCAGTATGAGGGAAGACCGGCCTGTCTCTTCGAACGGAAGATGGAGCCGAATGGGTTCTCACGAGGCTTGGATGGAGGAGCGACTGTGACTTGGAAGTCCATCATTTGACTCCAAGCAGAGTCGGTCTCGACGCGGAACACAGAGACAGCTTCGAGGACCTCATCGTGGATCTCGTTGATGGTGTTGTAGAGCGATGGGACCACAATCAGGCAGGCGACGATGGTCAGAGTGGAGCAGGCCGAAGCCACGCCGATGATGAGTTTCTCCTCGAACATGGTGCTGTTGTTCTGAGCCATTTCCCCTTTAAATACCCATGAATCTCCGCCCCGTAGGATTGTTGCGCTTGTTTATCCCTTCAGTAGCCATTTGACCTTGCCAAATCTAGAGCATCGACAAAAACTGAAAATCTAAATTGTCCGTAGTGATTATCTTGTAATAGTGGGCTCGTTTCTAAAGATTTGCGAGTAGATGTAGATGCTCAGGCAAACCTTAGTTGAGGGGATTCAAGTGAACTTACTTGGAATAGAGCGTGGATACAGTTACGATAAGATGACTCTTCTTAGTCAATTTTTTGAAGAGATCATTTCGTATTCGATAGATCAGAGACGGCATAAAAAAAACAGAGCTTTCTAGCCAGTGACCGTCGTCACTTGTGGTATGTGGTCTGCACTCGACGCTCTTCTCGTTTTTCGAAATAGAGGTGTTCAGTCCAGCTTGGAGAATTAGGTACATTTCAAGTATGGTCGCAAGATATAGTAGTTACTTTGCTCGAAAAAATCGCGAAGAATTCTCCCAGAATCAAAGGGTAAGCCATCCAGAAAGACAGTATAATCACAGGCCTCCTCTTTTTGAGAACCTGCGTTGCGGATGCCTCGGTGATAGAAGTGAAGAGGGACTTGAGGGATGTGAGAGACGCAGTCATACCGCCGATTAGACCTTTGCTTCATCAATTACAGTCGCGTCATAGCGAGAGAAACGGCAAGACCCTGGTTCTCGAAACTGCTTTTTGCATGATATAGGGGTACATGCATGGAACACAGAACTGTAGTTATTTTTCCTGAGCGGCCTCTGAATACCAAAAAGGGGTGATGAAGTGGTCCGTGGTTCGAATCCTCGCAGTGACAATTTTTTGCATTTTGTGTTGGCGTTTCAAAATTCGCGAAAAATAGCGTCAGCGTAAACAACTTATGTCATATCTATAATTAGGACCATCAGCAACCTTTATACGTAGACTTTGGCTAAAAAACTGGTGAAGAAAGTTAAGAACGGCAGTTCCTTAAGGAATTTTTCTTCGCTCGTTTTTTGGTATTCAGAGAATCGCTCAGGAAAAATGAACCACCGCTGTAAGACTACCCTGGTTAGCGCACTCTATACGAGACTAGCTCGTTTTTCGTTGTGACAACGGTTTATCATATTCCGGAAAGTGTTGGTGCACCGATTTTTTTATGTATACATAATACTAGGCACGCTTTCTAGCTTTGGACAATCATACTCGTTGGACTGTGTATAGATTCGTCAGGTTCCGTCGCGGAATTGTCGATAAATTGTCGGTTCATGAGTATCTGTATAGATTGAAAGAGCACAATAAGCAGTTCTTGACTTCTTTTTGTTATTAACTGCTGTATCTTGGCACGCAGTTCGCCGCGCGAATGTTCCCAAAGATGCCAAAAGCGAGAGGTGCGGGTTGTCGTGTCCCGCTAGGCCGAAACTTCGTTCACAACCGCAAGCATAACTGTAAACCTAGTGAGAGAGAATAGTTGAATTGGAAAAGTAGTCTGGTAATGTGGGGAAGGGCTCAAGACTTGGTCCTTGTATGCATTCCTCATCAAATCCACTTGTCATACGAAGATTCCCAAAAAGTTCTTCTTCTTCTGCTTGTTAAACATGTGCATGCGGTATATAGCGTTCGTGCATATTCTGAGTGTGTAGCTCGTTACAGGGCCGAAAGAGGTAGTAGTATTCCTAAACTTTGCCTCCAAAACCGTTGCCAGCGGATAAAAACGCTTCTTTTTCCTTTTTAGAAACTCCGAACTAGTTGTGATAACCTCCTCCTGAAGAAGCATCGTATCGTACGACCAATCATCAAAAAACGACGCGAATCCGCTCTTCGGTCAAATTATGGGACGATACTCGCCGTAAAAAACGTGCAAAAATTCGCACAAAAAACGCGATTTCGCGTTTTTTTCGTTCGTTATAAATCGGTTTAAAATTAAGATTTTCAAAATCTGAAAACAGCCTTGAACTCAGCTCGTCGAGATCTATAAGAATCCGTCCTAAAGTTTTCTAGCGGCACTACACTGGATTGCGCCATGCACTCAATTTCATCTCAAAAAGTAGTTGCTCGCATGTGATGTGTATATAATCCCGCTTATGCGGGCTAACCGCTACACACAAAGAAGGGCCTCAAAACTTACCCCAGAATGCGCCACGTACTCAATCTCATCCACTACATTGTGAGATTAGATGAATGTTATTTTCCGAATTCTTAGATTCATTTCGTTTTCAAGCGCTTACTGGCTTTACGTGTTCCCTCTGCTCTCAATATCCCATCCTCTGTATCAAGTGGAATCTTTGAACAGTTCTCAGCAGGCATAGTGGGCCTATTATGTGACATTTTCCATTTTCAGAGGAGATGTTTTGCAGAAAGCTGTGAAGATAGCGAACAATTTCCTTCACTGTCGTAGACTACGGTCACTTTTCTGTAGGAATTATATGGAACACTTGGTCGTACTGCACATTTTCCTGCTGAGATCAGGTAAGTAATGTCATTCGCATTGCATTTTTGTATAAAATTTGGTCGCTTGGCAAATACAAATACTCAGGACTTTAGCTTTTTAAGAGTACACTGGTTCTATTCAGGTGAGTGTGAACGGCGCGGCACCTTTGAGAAATATTACGCCTGCCTGATGGCCTTCAATGATTTCCATCGCCTAGTATGTACAAGTCACCCACATTACAACAAATGATGGCAGTAACACGATGCGGCGCAAGTTCAAGGCTTTTCTACTGGGTCATGGTTGATTAGTAATGGATTTTTGTAATTAAGTGGTGGCAGCAAAGGCACCGCGTTCTCGTTAAGGGTCATGACGGGAATTTAATCACCTAGGTCACGTGTTGTAGGAACTATTGAATATTCTTGTTGAACTCTTTTTCTGAGGAATAATTTCTGTCCTCTAGGAAATGAAATTCAATGGTTTGAGGTAGCACGAATTATGACTGAACAAGGCCATGATTATCCTGAAATTTTACAGATAAGAAAGGTCTACCTTCAGGTCACCGCTCTCTAATCCGGCGATAAATATACGCAGAAGAAGAATGTTCTGAAGAAAAATGTTGAGTTATGAAAATATCTCTTCAATATCATTTCCGAAAAACGGGCATAGTTGTCTGTCCTTTTTTTTGTGAACGATAAACCTCACTTACTTGTAAGATTTTGGGATAATGCGTGCTAGAATATAAGTTCTGAGAGCATAAACAGTACTGGACACAAGTTATTACTATTATATTATAACAAGTACAAAAATAAGAATTTCACGCAGTTGCCGGATCTATTGAAGCTCTTGGCAGATAACAATTTACTCGT